TTAAATATTTTAAATAATTAAAAAAGTAGATCATAGATATATTTATAGTAATTATGCAGGCAAATTTGCCTGCAAATCTCTACCAATTAAGGGATAAGTTTTTATTAAAAAAATTAAACTTTTTAATAAAAAACAGGCAAATTTGCCTGTGTTACAATTTAAGAGATAGGTTGTTAGATAAGGTTAATTGTGTGTAGTGAGTAAAGCGTGAAGTCATCAAACCTATTTATAATAATTGTAATAATTGGTTCGTATATCGTATAAAGATTGCCTCATCTTTAAAAAATAGCAAGTTCTTCTATATTGCTTAATGACAAATAAGATATTAAGAAATTTTTTTTTAGTATGTATTATCTTATTATTACAAATCATAAAACGTAATATCTCCTACAAATAGAATATGACGTATTGAGTTTATTTCCAATTTCATTATTAATAAACCTTCAGCTTACTGTAATTTTGCTATAAAAGAGATATTATATATTTAATCTGTGCTCTTATTCTTTTTACCACTTAATCATGAGCACTAGGAATTCTAAGAGATCTGCCAATGATAAAATATCAACAATTGCTAAACCTGCTAAATGAGATCATAAAAAAAAAGAAAATTTCGACCTCTGACTAATATCAACTACTCGCAAATTAAACCATATAATGTCAATAAACAAGGTCATAAAAAAAAACAAGAAATAGTTGCATCATCGTCTTCCCAAATTATTGACGAACTTTTAAACAATGCTAATAATCTACAAGGTAAATATTTTGTTGGATCTATGGATATTTAATATGTCAGTTATGATATTTTTATAATATTTTTAGATGACAATGAAGAAGTAATAAGCGTTGGTAAATTATCTCAATCAGTATTAACTTCTCCAAGGCAACTTTCGCCAGTCTTAGAATCAAGAATTGTATCTCAACTTTTATCATCACCTTCAAGACAACAGTCACCAACTCAAATTACGTTTCAAATAACTATACCTTCAAGACAACTATCTTCAGCTTTAGAGTCGAGAGTTGTATCTCCAAAACAATTATCACTGACTTTAGGGTTAAGAGCTAACGCTCAAAATAACTTTGTCTTCAAATCAACTTCTGATTAATCCAATACTTATATCTTCAAGAATGTTATTAACTTCAGATTCGAATTTCTCCAACAATACGCTTGGTCAATTCAATCCTAATAGAATTACTGCTCTATCTCCTTTTAATGAAATGTCAATTTATCAAGCTTGTTTGTGGTTATGTGCGAATTTTAACATTCTGCAGCTTGCAAACCATATGAACTATCAATGTAAACTCCAGCTGCAGATGGTTCACAATTTATGTCTTCTAACTCTATGACATTAATTACGGCTCCAAATCAAGATGACAAAGTAGGTTCTCTCTGTTTAGGCTTTTATAAATTAAATGAATTATTTTTAATCACAAAGAATTTATGTAATAGGCAAAAGCTAGTCGAGACTATTTAAAAGAATTGAAGTGTCTTTTTCTTCGGGTTCGAAATTCTCCAAAAAAGGCAATTGAGGATTTAATATGACAAGTTATTAAATGTGATCTCAATTCAACTGAGGGTATTAAATGGCTTCAAATAGCTAAAAAACACTTTGGTGATTTTCGTAACAAATTAGTTAATGATATCGAAAATTTGGTAAAAGACTTCAAAAAAATAAGAGCACGGTTAGTGTGTGACACAATTTTTATTTTTTATTTGTTTTCATTTACCTAAATGATATGTTTCTCTACAATTATAGTCCTGTATCGAGCCCACTACAAAAAGAAGAAATCATCGCATTCGTGAATGAAGTTAAAACACTTAATGTATTAATCAGTGGTTGAATGCTACAAATATAGATGAATTACGTATTCACAATTCAATATATCATTTATGTAAGTTCATCCAGAGTGCATTTGCAGTTAATTATACTTTGAGAGATACTGAAGGGACAAAAGCATTGGATAGATTAACAAAAAGTATTGCTATTCCATCACGAAATGGCAAAAATTTTGCCAATAATATCAAATTGTAATAGATTTTATTTTATTTAGATAGCATATTAACTAGCATTTAAATAACAATTAAATCATTAAATAGCTTCGATTATTTTAATCAGTAGTAATTTTAAAGCATTTATAAGCAAATCTTTTGTATTAAATTTTATTATTAAAATTTACAAGCTTTAAATATATTTATGGCTCCACTATTCATAACATTTGTACAGTGACAAGAGAAAATAATCTTACTGTAGCCAATAAATAGAGCCAGTTGTTATAGCATATTACTATGTTAGGCAGGCTTCTCATCAAAATCATCCTCGATGTCAAGGTTATACGAAAAATTCAAATATAAAAAGCAATTCGAATCTTTGGTAAAGTTCTTTTACTTATATTAAGGTTAGAAGTAGAATTTGCAACTTTTATTTTATAACTGAAATTATTAAATACTAAAATCCAAAACATGATTCTTCTATATACTCAAATTTCTTTATGTGTTGTTCTGACATGCCACTTTTACTTCAAAACTCAAATTAAGACCGTCATTCCAACAGGCTATTATCTTTCTAAAAAAACAAACAACGACTGTTATTCTAACAGGTCATCAAATCATAGCTTTTAAGCAGACTGCCAAATCAATTGCTAGGATGGGACGAAAAATCAACAAAATTAGGTTGGTGAAAAAAGCTTTATTTGAGAAAAAACTCATTTTTCTTATAGCTGGTTTCAATGGTCGTATATCACCATGGCATAGTTATTTTGGAGTTTTTAAGACTAGTAAATTATAGTACTTTGCAAAAAGATGTGACACCATGATTTTTGTGGTGATGAATGAGAAAAATTTATGAGATTCCAAATTGTCTATTAAATAATACTTTCGATAAGTTATATTTATATTTATTTGAAAATAGTAAGATTCTTAAAATCTACAGAATCTCTGATTTTTACATGAATCTTTTGCAAAGCGCAATAATTTTTACTAATTTAAATTTTCAAATTCTTCGATTTCCTACGTAGATATATTAGATATATAGAAATTGTTCCACATTTTTGAAAATGGCTGTAAATACTAGAGTCGATTTTGGAAGCTCCTAAAATCTAGAAAATATCATGAAATTCTATAACATGGTGATTTGTACAATTGTAGGTTATGATGGTTTGCAAAAAGGTGTGACCTCTGCAATTATATAAAATCACCATTATTGATTAAAAATTATGAATTAAAATCAGAAAATTTTCGCTATTATCATCACAAAATCACAGGGTTACACCTTTTTGCAAGCCACCATAATGATCTAAATAGGCAATTAATAGTTGATAGTTTTTTGCGGATTGCAAAAAAGTGTGACTCTGTGATTTCATGATAATAATAGCAGAAAATTTCTGAGATAGTTTTCGATCTATATTTTATTCAGAATCTTTACATAACATCATGATCTGTAGAGGTCACACCTTTTGCAAACCGCTATAATTCTATATACTTAAAATTAAATTGATTCAGAATCTTCGAATTTTTACAACATATACTGTTTATAAATACAGGTAACTATACTTTGCTAAAAGTATATTGCTACTTAATACTATCAAAGATCATATTATCTTCCAACTTGGAACTTCCCAAATAGGTTTTCAGTTAATTTAGTTTTCTAGATTTATTGTGCCAAAGCTTCTATAACAAGATAGTGGACCAAGGTTACAGATTTGATTCTAGATCCAATAGTATATAATCATAGCCATTAACCAGAACACAGACCTATTTTTTCAAATATTATCATCCATGGGATTTGAACTCTAGACCTGTTACTTGGAGAGGGTGATGACAAGACCACTACACTAAGTTGCTACACCTCTTCTAGGTAAAATATTTAATTTAAAATTTGTTTAATTAGCTTTGTTAAGAAAATTTTTTAAATTATTAAAAAACTTTAGCATAATAAAAGTTTATTAAAATTTTTACTATACAATTTCTTCTTTAGGTTTTTTTAAATTTTATATATTTTTCATCTATAAAATATTTTACTCTTAAGACAATTCTTAATATTTATTAGTTAATCACTAAAAGTGTAATAATGAAAGTTGTTATCTTTTATATAAACTACAATATTGTATTAAAAACTTATTTTTAAAATTAATATTTAAAGAGTTCATCAAGAAATTATAAATTAATTTTTAGTTTAAAAATTTTTTTAAAATTGTCTAATTTTAGTTTATAAGCAAACTAAAATTTTTGTTTTATAATATAAATACAAATATTGCAAAAATATAATCCTTATTTTCAAATATTATTATATTAAATTTTATTTAAATATTTTAAATAATTTAAAAAGTAAATCAGAGATATATTTATAGTAATTATATAGACAAATTTGTCTGCAAATCTCTATCAATTAAGGGATAATAATAATTAGTTTTTAATTTATTATAATTTTTTATTATTTTGGCTTTTTTTTTTATAATTAAGGTAATCTCTTTAGCATAAAAGCTTTTATTAGGATTTGAAATAATGTTTTATATGCAATTACAATGATAATATATCAAGCCACATATGCACTTTTGGTACCTAATTTAGATAGTTCATCCTAAGCATTAGTACTATGCTAAGAGTCCCTCCCACTATACCTGTACTTCAACTACAGAGGTACTTATTTAAACTATCTAATTACAACTGCCATCTGTTAACTATCAAAGCTCAGGTTTTCCTCATTATATATACATGAATTTTGGTATCAATCTTTAATTAAAAGATATTCTAACTGCTTTAAAACTTATTAATTATTTCTGCTAGTCTATCCTCAAGATAAACCTAACAGAGTGATACATGTTTCACACATGTATTTATCTATATGTTTCTATAACTTCTTTCTAATTAGTATATATTGACCTACTGTTCTGTATATATATTTTATGCCACTTTTTGGGGTGCTGCCAGGATCCTGAAATATTTATAGAGAGTAAGGTTTTGCAAAAATTACTAAATATAAAAAGATCTGCAGAAAAAAAGTTAAAAATAAACAAACTAATTACTATAAATAAAAATAATTCATACAAAAATATATATTTTTTAAAGTCTTGTACTACTATTCTACAGATATTTCTCAAGTACCAATCTTTCTAACTAGGTGCTCATTATGTACTTCTTGCTCTTATTCAGTTTACAACAACCCTGGTACTCATTTGGACTGTCTTTTTACTCAGATTCTTTATTGGTCCCTCTCTTACTTCTAACTAGCAACTCAGAAGAGTTAGTCTGTTTAGGCTTATAGTTATTCTCCTTTTGGTCCATACTTTTAGAATATATGATATGACCTTTTTCTTTAATGTAACAATCTAGTACTTTATAGAAACTTGTACCAAATTGATAATGAGTTTAAAACTAGCAAATAATATTTTTAAAACATGCTTACAATATTTTTTTTAGATAATTAGTAATTATTATATTTTAATTACATTTTATAAAAAAAACATAATATGATTACTAGTTAATAACTAGTTGTTAACTAGTAATTATAATATTATAATTATGTTTGTTCAAAAACATTATTATAATATTATAATTACTAGTTAACAACTAGCACGGGTCAAATAAATCCATACTAGTTAACTATTGGGTTTCCAATAGGTTTCTGATTTTTGTATTATAGAAACATACTAGCTTACCAGTTAAGCTTTTCTAAAAGTATCTAATTTATCTCTAATTATAAACAGACTTTGGTACAGATAGAGCACTATTTGGAAATATATAGTTTATGAATCATATTCATATTAGTAACCGACATTTATCTGATTTGTATTTGTAATATAACTATAAAATAGAGCACTATTTAGAAATATATATAGTACAGATTGTTATAATATTAGTTACCTGATATATATCTAATTTGTATCTTATTATTTGTACTATGACTATAAAATAGGATACCATTTAGAAATATATATAGTACAGATTATTTTAATATTGGTTACCCAATATTTATCTAATTTGTATCTTATTGTTTGTAATATAACTATAAAAATAGGGCACTATTTAGAAATATATATAGAACAGATCATTTTAATATTGATTACCTAATATTAATCCGATTTATATCTTAATATTTGTAACATAAATATAAAAATAGAGCACTATTTAGAAATATATATTGAACAAATCATTTTAATATTGGTTACTTAACAATTTTTTTTTTTTTGATGATCATACCATATGCTCTGCTTTTATTGATTATATACAACAATCTAAAGAATTTTATATTACATCTTATTACTGGAATGTAACTCACCTAGTTACCTATATAGAGTATCTAAATACTCATATACCTGTGTGTGACCTGCCAAAGATGATTTTAATCTCCCTGGTTTGGTTCAACCTACATCAGGCTAACTTGCCCCAGTTCACCAACCTGGTTTACCAGCCCGTTATAATCATCTTCTTTCTCAACCTTCTTATTCTAGCCTCCTAGATAGAAGAATTCTACCGCAAGAACAACAAAAAATTTAAAAAAATAAAAAGAAATACAAAAAAGAGAGAAAATTTAAACTAAATGAAACAAAAAAATATACTCAAAAGAAAAAATAGAGAAAAAGAGAAAAAGGCCACAAAGAAGACGACTATGACAACACTATTTTTGCCTATACTAGGCTACAGAAATTATATAATGTTGCATAGAAAAAATCTAACCTATCACTATATGTATTAAAAGAAGTGAAAAAGAAAAGAAAAAACATCTAACTATAAGAAATTTCTACACGTGATCTCTCCGATCCCCTATACTGTAAACTGTACCGCCATCATTGTTTATTTGGGAAAGCAGAATCCAAATAAGCTCGTGGGAGGTTCCATTTCAGTAGATGTATTCTAATTTGGAAGGAGTAAACACTGCTGATCTTTTGGAGGAGTATGCCGGTTTTTCTACTTTTTGGCTAAAATTTCTAAAAAAAATCCAAAACTGCAGAAATATGGTAGAAGGTATTTGTAATAAGTACTTTTAAAATTTCTAAAGAGAGTGTTGGAAGTCCAGAACTTTTGTTATTTCCCCTG